TCCACTGTTGTCTTTAAGCAAGTTTGTTACCCTAAGCACAGCCTGGGGATTTCAAAAGAAAACATCCATTGTAAATTAAAAAAAAAAAAAAATGTGTACCAGATTTTCTACAAGGTTTATTCCATACTGCCTTGAAGTACGAACACAGTCAAGCTCTGCAGAAAGTGATTAATTTCTTGAAAACGCTAAGGTCACACTAATTGACATGACCTGTGTAATTAAGCAGTCTCTGTTTACACACCAGAAGCTCAGCCGCTGTGAGGCTGAGTTTGCTTGACAGAATGTCTTTACATGTCAAGAGATCAACAACCTTTCCTATGTCCTCCTCAGTCACCTACACAGGCCCCTGATCGCTGTTCAGAGGAGACAGGCTCTGGCATGGGTGTACAAAGATCTGGCTGGCCTGGTAAGCATGCAAAATGGGATGAGAGAAAAACAGCATCCTTGACGATCGGGAAGAGCCCACTAATTAAGGCAGCAGAGCCCATTTTCCATTAGATGTCTCCAGGTCTCCGATTTTCAGTATAACTGGGAAAAGTCACACTGAGGTGTAAAGAGTAAACCAGTGTTCTCATGCCAAGAAGACACGCTCTCCCTCCCCCTCAGAGGCAGAGGCAACAATCGGTACACTATGCGGAAAATGATGGGAATTTTAAGTCTCATTCTCAGGACGCCTTCGACCACTGTCTTCATGACGTACCTCTTGTCAGTCAGGAGAGCAGCAGCGGAGACTACCCTTTCCCCTCTCACTTCAGCCCTACCGTCTGGGAACTGTGGTTTGATTTCTTAACGGAGTGCTCTGTGACGCTGCTCTACTCTGAGGGACCACTTCGCTCAGGCTCCATGCAGGTAAGGGGCCTTTCTCACCCTGGAGAACTGGCCACAACCTCAATAGCTCAAGTGAAGGCCAGGCAGTCTCCTGACTAATAGCTTCTTTTTCTAAAGTTCATACAACTACAAATTGACTAACAAGTAGCTCTGCTTAGAAATAAGACTGAAGCTCCTCCCCGTACACCACAGCTGCACCCTCTGCCTGGCCAACTTGGGTGGTGTGACAATGCTCTTCACTCAGGTGGTATTTTCAGGTTCTATTAGGGCAAACACCTCTTTGGAAAACCCAGCCTTTGCTTTCCCAAGATTCCAGCACAAATTCATGGGTAGCTACCACAACTCTCAGATGGGGAGAGACCTCCTTATCGCCTCACTGGGTATCTGCCAACTGACTCTGGACAAGTCCTTTCCAGTTTCACCACATCAGAGAACAACCGAGTCAGGCTGGTTGGGCTCAGTCACTGTCTTGCTGATTTCTAAATGTGTGACTTCGGGCAAATGGCTTAGCTTCTTTAAGCCTCAGTTTCCTCATCTATAAAATGGGAGTAATCCCTATTTGCACATTTCCAACAAGGATACTATAAAGATAAAAATGATAACCCATGTGAAATACTTAGCATAATCTCTCTCACGTAAGTAACCTATGTTGTTTTATCATCATCATCATCATCATTATGGCCAATGTCCATAGGCGTACCTCCGGGTACACACATGGACATGTATAATTATACACATGTATATGGAACACACTGAATGTAGACACAAATATAAACAGTCATCTCCCCTGCACTTAATGCAGTTAGGGATGAAGCAAGACAGAAAACACAGGAAGAGAAACTAGCTTAGGACAGAGGCACAAGGAAGAAAAAAAAAAAGGAAAATGACAATTGAGTTTGGAGTTCAATGAATTAAAGTTCCTGGAAATATCCAGCAGACAGCTGGTGGTAGGTCTGAACCTGGGTGTCAGGTCCCAGGGAACTGACTCAAGAGTTCTCAGTGCCCCAAAAGTGGTTAAGATGCTGGGAGTTGATACTGAGGAGATACTAAAGAGATCCTATAAAGTGAAAAAAAAGATCTGAATCTCGAAAGGAAATTGAGGGAACACCAATATTTACAGAAGAGCAAACCAAGACTGTCCTGGAAGGGGCTGAGGATGAATGAATGTTGCTATGAAATCCAAGGAAAAAGAAAGATTCAAGAAGGATGGAGTGGCTACTGTCATGAAATCATGCAGAGAAACACAGGAAGAAACAGTCATGAAAGAAACAAGACTGGAGGGAAAATGAGGAGGGTGAGTAAGGGATATCTGAGGTTTTACTTAAACTCTGTAGAGGCAATCCATCCATTCTGATTGCACAAATGTCCGTGTGCCTATATGCATAAGGCCATGTGCTAGTATGAAACGTGAAGCATACACAGATACCAAACAAAATGAGCCAGTATTCATTCTGCCAGAGGCTCCCTCAGTCCTCTCCCAGGAAAGAACGAGTGAATGACAGGAACAAAGCAGGTTAATCTGAGATGCAGTAAGGAATTGGCCATTGCGGATATAGCTCTTCTTCAGCTCAAACACTGACTCTCTGGTGGCCAAGGTAGCTGCACCTCTTGAGAGCTGTCCACTTACTTTAGAGTCAGTTGGAGAATCACAGGTAGGAGCACTGTCAGGTTCAGGTAAATCACATGCATTTGAAGGACAGACAGGATGGGCTTCTGCTGGGCAGCTCTAATGCCCAGTCAAAGAGTGCACTCTCTGAGACAAAAGTGCTGTCACCAGGAAGGGTCTATCAGAAGTCATCAAGTATAAGACTCAACCAGTGATTCTCAATCAGGGGCAATTTTGTACCCCCACCCCAACCAGGGGACATTTGACAAGGTCCAGAGACATCTTGGTTTCTTGATTTGTCATGACTGGAGTGGGGGTAAGGGGTAGTGTCTTTACTGGCATCTAGTGGTAGAGGCCAGTGACAACTGCTAAGCATCCTACAATTACAGGACCAAATATCCCCATCCCCTCTCCCCACCCCTCCCCACCCTCTGCTGCAAAGGGTCATGCAGTGTAAAATGTGAGTTGTGCCAGGCTGGAAAAACCCTGTACTGAAATAATGACCCAGCTTTTAGTTTATCACAAGTATTTTCTCCAAAGGCTTACATTTTTGTTTTATCATTTGCAAGTTACTTATGCAAGAAAAATGTTGCCTTTCTTTCATATGTTGTAAAATAAGCAGAATTGTCATTTTTACTCTACTGTACAGTTGAGGAAACTGAGGCTTTCTAGAAATCTAACTCATGCCTCCATGTCTCAGTAGCACTTCTACTAAACAAAGAGTAACTCTTTTGTCTGTAAAAGTAGTACTTTCTAGAATCAAAAAATAACAGATTGAGTTGGTTTCTCATCTCATGTAAGAGCTACGTTCCTGTCATTCAAGGCTTTCAGATATTTTACTAATAGGCCCTGTGAGGGCAAAAAAGTGTCCTGAAGTCTTACTCAAATGTTCTTTTTGTTTCCCAATGTCACCAAAGTCTATCTTTAGCTCCACTTCCCTGAGAAGCACAGCAAAGTTGATTCTGGTATTCCTAAGCTACTAGACATGTCCATTAGACATGAACTGGTTCATGCCTGGATATGTCTTGTTTCTGACCCACGCTTGCTCAAACGACATATATGGCTCACCTCAAGGCTACAGTTTCTACTAAAACTCAGCCTCGTGTTTCAAGACACTTAGCAACACACTCAGTGGCATCACATGTGTTTGTTTCACCCCCAAACCTGACTACAACTCAACATGAAAAGTCCTGTGTGGGAATGACAGTGCCCACATCTACCAACTTGGGATCAGAAGCCAGCCAGGTGACGCGTTCTCTGGAAAAGTAGGAATCTAAGGATTCTCCCCAATCATCTCTGTGAGGACAAAAGATGGCAAGGCCGGAATGATTTTAGAGAAACACTTCAGAATCAGGAAAGATCGTCATCTTTCCACTGAATTTGTTCTTTTGTAAGACTAATAAGTCTCACCCCTGTAAAAAAAAAATAATCATCTTGGAGACTAAGAGATCTCGACATTCGAAAATCAATGCTCATTCCTTCCCTTTCTCCATCAGAGACTGGGCAGCTAAAATTTTTCAAGAGCCTCTCAGAGATCATATATTTCAATCTATACTTAAAGCTGACTAAATGTAAGAGCATACTAGATGCACCAAACAGGCCGTATGGACATACACATGTGGGTCGTTACTCCGATGGGGAAATTAACATGGACCATGGAAATGAGTTAGCCACACAATTAGACAGACAGCGACACAAGGGCCTAGAACCTTGCTCCCTAAGTGTGGTCCAGGGCACTGTCATCTCTTGGGAGCTTGTTAGAAATGTAGAATTCCCCACTCAACTCCCAGAACTCAATTAGCATTTTAACAAGATCCCCAGGGGATTCTTGACACTTTCAAGTTTAAGGAGCACCAGATCTAGAACTTAACCACCTTTACCAAAACCCAACTACCATTCTGTGTCTTGAAAGTTAACCCATTTGTTTTTACATCTTTTTACTTTAGAAAAGGTATAATTATATGAGGTGAGCATACCACTCCGGCTTTACATGATGGCAGATCTGATGGGTCCTTGAGAACATTTACATGTGCCCAATAAGGACATTTCTGAAACAGAACTGTCACTCGTGTCAGTCTGGATATGCCCTGCTTCTTCAGAGGTCCATTTTTTTAATGATAATGACTACTAACAATTTCCAAGCATGGAAGAGAAGAACAGAGAGAAAAGAAGGGAGAAGGTAGTAAATTCTAAAAACAGAATGAAGCTCTTATTTACCAGTTTCCTAGTTACAAACCTCTAGACGAAGGATTCATTGTTTCTCTCTGTCCTTCCCTTTACCTGCAGTGGTGGAGCCTGTGAATCCATCCTGGAAGCTAAACCAGGCTCAACCAGCGAACGCAGGTGGTATGGTCCCAATTCTTCTCTGACAAAAACAACTCCTAGACAGCAAGACCTGGGGGACCAGGCGCTCACCTGCTCTCCACTCTGGGGAAACAACTATCCTCTCTATTTTCTTCTGCCTAAGGCTGTTTTTCTTTGTTTTTTTTTTTCTTGTTTTTGTTTTTGTTTTTACCCTCTCCTGACATTCATGTCATTATAGAGTTTTAAGACAAGACAGACCCACCTGGAATCTCCGCATGTCACGTGGGTTTCCTGCATTCTTTAGGCAATTTTGGTTACATTTGAGGAAAAATTTCAAGAAGAACCTGGAAAGAAACAAATGACCATGATTAGCATTTCAGTCCTGACACAAGAGGCAAAAAAGTAGTAAGTCGCTTCTGGGTTGCACATTCTATGCACATTTTCTGAAATACTCAGATTGGCGTTAGAACCAGTATTTTGTTGGAAGCTTTAGCCTTTGCTTTGCATCCAAGCTGAAATGGACCGCTCTCTGTACTGCCAACAGATTTCACAAAAAATTAAGCCCCCAAGGAAATATTTTTACTCAGAGGGAAAGTCTTTACCATAATTTATGATAGATTCCAATTGGCTATAATTGCCTGACAATTACTCATGGTCCCTAACAACATGCAAGTTAAACCCTGTAAATTCACAGATTATGAACGAGCAAAATACGTAAGGAGATGGTAAACACTTTTTATCTTAGCATTTCCAAATGAAATTCCTAATTAGTAGTACCCATGAGAGGTAGGTGAGATTCACACACTGACTAAAGTCCTTTGGTTTCTCAAATACTTCCTGTATGTGAGATGCATGGGTTTTACTTGCTAGGGTGACTAGGGGTCCCAATTTGCTAGGAACAATCCCAGTTTACAGCAGCTGCATTAGTGTATTAATAGTACCCACTTTAACTTGTAAAAGTGTCCCATTATGGATGATAAATGGATGGTCACCCTATAACTTTGAGTTATTTCTTATGTTGCAATCGTTAAAGTCGAACAGGTAAAGGAAGCAGGTATCAAAGGTGTCCTTCTAGGGCATTCATGTTAGCCACCTGCATGTTCCACACCTGCCCAGATGTGGGCAAAGATGCCTTTTAAAAGCCACCTTAAGTTTTTCATTCTCTATCACTTTTAGGGCTATGGATTTCAGGTCCAAATAATTTTCAAAAATATCAGAATTCTTTAAAATGCCAGTCAGTGAAATCCTTGCGGAAATTTTCCCTTCTTCACCGTTCCCCTACTTCAGGTACACACTGGAGCACAATTCCTGCCTTGATGCACATACTCCATGAGAAACTCTCACACCAGGATGCCTCAGTCTCAGTTTAGCTCTGAGCACAGAGTCTATCGGCCAAGCAATGCCGGGGACCTCGGCAATGCAGGCAGAGCGCAAAGACACAACGAGCGCAACCAGTTTCTGCTTATTAAACGGCGACGTTTCCGGAAGCGTCCCCCCTCCCCCAACCTGGTGTCTCAGCATCTGCCAAGAGGGGACTATGGTGTGGGAAAAATTCCTTAAAGAGAGACACTAACTTTTTACCGACCAAAAGAATATTATTTTGAAATGTAAACATCTTCCTGAAATGGCTCTGCCAACACCACGCAACAGTCCTCCGCCCTTCAATAAAAGCGGGCCTCGGAAGAGTGTCGCCCCTACCTCCACGCCCTCTCCACAGAGGCCCGAGTTTATCAGCTCTCTGTAGGCGACACAGGACCGGTGGGACCCGGCGGGACCCGGCGGAGACCCGAGTGCACATCCAGCCCCGGCGCCCCGGCCGCAGCACCGGGAGCAGCGCAGTCGCTCCCTCGGGGAGCCGGCCCGGGCCCATTCGCGCCCCTTGCCACTGGGTGGACGAGGGAAAGGGCAGGGGTTTTCAGAGAGTGGTCACGGTCCTAAGTGCCTTTGAGCTCTCCCTTTCCTCTGAGCTCTCGGAAGGCACGTGCTGGGTGGCCCCGGTTATCACGGGTGGCTTCTAGAAACTACGGACAGTGGCTGAGCTCAGCAAAGGGAATCTTGCTGGACTTCAAGCCTATACCCCAAGACCCCTGAAATGTGAAAACTGGATGCTTTTCCACACACAGCTAGTGGGAAGAGCCTATTTAAAAGCCATCCCAAACCCCAGGAGGGCTGATTCCCCCGAAGTTGAAAGCGAGAGTTGGTGTGGTACAGTGGAAAGGCCACGGCCTTTAGAAATACCCAGCGTGGGGTTCATATCCCAGTTCTGACAAGTACTGTGTGACTTCGGATAAGTCGCTGAACTTCTCTGAACCCTCTTTACCAAAAATCGGGTACAATGTCTGTTCCTACGGCAGTTGTGAGAATTAACCGCGATGATGTACCGTGCCTGGCACATGGCAAGCGCGGTAATGGGGGAACTAATGAGTGGTTCCACCTATTAGGCGCCTACCTCATGCCTAGCGCAGCGCTAAAAACTCCATCCTCGGCGGGGGCGGGGGAGGGGCAGGGAGTAGGTTTACAGTTGTTCGCATGGGAAATAATACAATAATTAACAAATAATAATGCAAGAATAAACTCTGTAAACCTACTTTGACTCCACCCTGTACATTTCCCTATCTAATCCTCTGAAATAACCTCTGTTATTAATCCCATTTCATAGATGAGGAAACTGAGGTTCAGAGAAATTAAATAATTTGCCCAAAGGTTAGAATGCGTGAATCTCTCAATTTGGACAGAGCCTGTGTTCTTAATCATTATGTTATTTAGTAATCACAGAAGTGGTACAGTATTGATAAGAATACCAGTCTTGCCATCAACAGCAAGTGTACCACCTCAGCAACTGTACTCATAAGAGTAAATACGAGTAAACTGTACAAGAAAGAGGAACTATTGGTATTATTATCTCTACGCTGGCAACGTGAACACTGTGCAGAGAGACGTCCCCGCCGCTCTCCCTCCCTCCTCGTTCCCCAAGGTTGATAATATTTGCCGCCTGTGTGTGTTTAAGCCATTTGAGCCCAGGCCCAACAGCCAGATTCAGATTGTGTTAGAAGGAGCTGTCAGCACACCCTCTGGCATCTTCAAGTCAGACAACTGCTAGCCACCGTGAGGGGGTCCATCTGGTGCCAACGTGGATTTTGAAAGACAGGCAAACAGGACGCTAGCTCGGCCAGAGAGAAACAGAATCAAGGGAGCAGAGGATCTTCTGCCTCCAGACTGAGCAGGGCGAGGCGCCTGTCAGCAGCCCGTCGTTAGCACAGAAGCTATGCCGGGCACACACCGGATCCCCGTTACCCTAAGCTGCCCTGTCACTTGGCCTGCTGGCTGAAGCCGACAGAGGATCTCTTGCTGAAACTGAAGTCCTGACCATCTGTCGTGGGGAAGAGACAGCATCAACTGGTGCCCGGGGCCCAGCACAAGCCCTTATGCGGCAAAGACACTCTGAGGGGCTGATTCTTCTGGGGAAAGCCAGCCCTACCCCAGGGGGAACCTCAGGAATTCTCTCAACGTTTTCCTCTAAGTAGATGCCAAGTGTCTGACCCTTTCGATCGCCCCTCCTTAAAGGAACTGAGATGAGTTAAAAGCAAGAGTTAAAAATATCCGCACCCAGAGACACAGTTAGACATGGCACGCAAATTCGGGGGATGGTCTTTATTGGGCTGTTATTAAGGCATTTGTAAACGTGGGGACATGTCTGCTGGCCTACGGAGAAGGTCTCAGATTCCGAGGGGGCTTTTAACAAAGTGGAGGTTACTGTAACTGAAAACCTCACTTTTGTCTAACAAATTACCACCGTTTGTGTGGCGGGCGGGTTTGATAAAGTGTGTCAGGAGAAAGAGTGTGGCAGCCTTACCCCAACCGTGGGAAACTGACCTGCAGCAGGACAAAGCCCCCACGGACCCTGCAGAGCTCCAAAGAGTTTCGTAAACTCCAGGAAATAGCCCCACCAGGACCGAACTCTAGTCTTTTGGGCCTGGTGCGGGGGTAGGCCGGTGAGGAGCCTGACACGTTATCGTTAACTTTCAATATGAATAATGTCGTCTTGTGTTCATACCGTGTATGATTCCAGTCAAAGCACATATCCCCAGTCTCTCACTGAACCCTCACGGAAATCCTATAAATCAGGCTCGCCAGAAATTATCAACCCATTTAAAAGGCAAGGAAACTAAGACTCAATAAAATCAAGATATTTATCTTCAGTCAAAACTAAACTAATACCCTACTTTGCTAAAAGGATTCATTATGGTATGAGTTTTCTCCGTGAATGACAGGACTTAGTTAGTAATGATCTGAACCATCACTTAGTCTAACTTACTCGTCGTGCCTGTGAGAAAATTGAGAGAGATCAAGAGACATGACAACAGGCACACAGGTTTACTAGTTATGAGAGCTAAAACCGTCATCCACACACACGTCCTGACATCTAGCTGTATGACTTTCTGCAGTGTAAGGTTAGCTTTTCAAAAGTCAACCCAATAAAAGCTCTACACTTGAGATACCAAACTTTTTAGTCTACTACCTCAATTAAGAACGTGACAGCCATTAAACCCAATGTGACATCGTATTAAAAAGTTGTGTTTAAGTTCATCAGTCAGGCTAATGTAACACATCCTTCCCATCACTGAACATTAACTGAACCAAACACACATATTGGTAGAACAAAACTGTTTACTCCGTGATTTACTGATATCGCATTTTACCAACCAATATATATTCAGTATTTTGAGTAGCTTCCATGTGACTAATGTGGTGCTGCACACTCAAAGGAAAGTTCATTGAATTAGCCAAAAGAATCTGACCCATCTATATGAGGATGTAAAATAAGAAAAAGTCAGTTCTGTGTACCTAGCACATGGCACAGGATATAGAACCCAGTGGATCTCCAGTAAATATTTATTCAACTAAACAGAATCCAGGACCCTCCAGAATACAGACAGTAGTAGAGTTTACTGGACAAGAGCTAGGATTGGAGATGAGGCAAGGCTGGCTACATTTCAACAATTCCCTTGAATCTCCCTCGGTGGCCTCATTAAAACATTGGAGCAACAGCATCTCTCTCCCAGACTATTGGGTGATTTTCATCATAATCCTAGCTTCACTGCTGAATTAAATGTGTGACTTTAGACAAATGATTTTACCTCTCTGTGTCTCAGGTCCCTCCCCATAAAATGGGAGGGACTAACAAAAACTACTTCAAAGGGTTATTGAGAATTAAATGAGTATCATACATGGAGTGTTTAAATAGTAACTAGCATAGAAAAAGCAATAACTATGTTCATCATCATTTATCCCAAGCAACTGGTAATGGCCTAGCACTCGGAGATTTTCAAATACAAATATTCTT